AAAAAAAAAAAGAAAAGAAAGAGAAACAATCACAAATGGATGTTGAATTTTATCCATTTTTTTCTCCTGCACCAGAGATACTTTTCTTTTGATATGATGTCCCACATTGACAGATCTTCCTTTTCTATCCATATACGGTGATTGCTTTTCTAATGCTAAATAAACCCACCTGGAATTTCTGGGATAAACCCATCCAGATGCTGATACATTTTCCTGTTTTACATATTGTCACGCTCCATCTGCAGGCATTTTATGTAGGATTTCGCAAGCGTGTTTGTGAGGGAGGCAGGCCCCAAATTTTCTCTGCTTATGTGGTCCTTATCAATTAGCACCTGTCGGGTAACGGTTGTTGGAAGCACCCCCTCCACCCCCGCCGCCCAGATTTTCACCTACCCAGGGATCCGACGCCGGCTTCCCCGCAGAAACCGTGTGCGGGGAGCGCCCCCTGGCGGCCCTGGGGGCGCAAGAGCCTGAGGAGCCGGGCGGGGTGAGTACCAGAGGACAGAACACGAGGTGGCGCCAGGGCTCGGCGGGATGCTGGTCTTTGCCGGCCTGGTGACGAGAGCGGCTCAGCTTCAGAGAAGGGGTGACCAGGACCCAGAGTGACACAGCAGGTTCATAACTACAGAGTTTTAACCCTTCTGAGCTGTGCAGTTCCTGAGTCTTAATCTCTTTACCTATAAAGTGGGGATAATACATCTGCTTTCAGGGAAATAGGAGGAAGCTGTCAAAGCACAGACGTCAGACTTCCTAGAGAATAAGGAAGGTGTCCTCTCTTGGCCTCAGCATTCTTGTTTTCTTGTCTGTTACAAGCCCTTGATAAATGGCAGCTAGGGAGAAGGGGATTCAGGACTCGCGATAATTGTCCAGCATGAGAGTCTGCATCAGGGAGGTCTGTGTGAAGGAAGAACATACGTTCATTTATTAATTGTAGTTTATTATTTAGTCATTGTTCATTTATTCAACAAATATTTATTGGACACTGGTAGGCAGAATAATGATCCCCAAGAGACGTCTGCACCCTCATCCTTGGATCTTACAAATAGTCTAGGTTACAAGGGAAAAGGGAAGTAAGGTTGCAGGGGGAATGAAGGTTGCTGATGAGTTGACCTTAAGATAGGAAGATAATCCTAGATTATCCAAGTGGATTATCCAAGTGCACCCAATGTGATCACAAGGGTCCTTAAAAGTAGAAGGAGAAGGAGGAGAGTCAGAATCGCTGGTTTTGAAGATGGAGGAAGCTGAAAGACGCCAGGAAGGGGATTCTCCCCAGAGCTCCAGTAAGGAATATAGTCCTGCTGACACCTTGGGTTTTTTTGTTTGTTTTTTTTTAAGATTTTATTTATTTATTTATTTATTTGACAGAGAGAGACACAGTGAGAGAGGGAACACAAGCAGAGGGAGTGGGAGAGGGAGAAGCAGGCTTCCCGCGGAGCAGGGAGCCCGATGCCGGGCTCGATCCCAGGACCCTGGGATCATGACCTGAGCAGAAGGCAGACGCTTAATGACTGAGCTACCCGGGCGCCCTGACGCCTTGCTTTTAACTCCGTGAAGCTTGTGTGGGACTTCTCACCTAACCGTAAGAGAATAAATTTGCATGGGTTTAAGCAGCCAGCTTTGTGGTAATTTGTCACAGTTGTGGGAAACTAACACAGTATTTTTCCGGGCGCAAGAGCAGATGTGGAGGGTTCTGGGGAATTCAGAGCTAGAACAAGGTAGAGTGTGAGGAGCCACCATGTTGAGAAGCTCTGAGTCCCAGGACTAGCAGGTTGAGAAGGGCTTTTCCAAAGAAGTGACATTTCACCTTGTATCTGAAGATTATATCAAATGAAGCGAGAGCTGGGACGCCTGGGTGGCTCAGTTGGTTAAGCGTCTGCCTTCGGCTCAGGTCATGATCCCAGGGTTCTGGGATCGAGCCCCGCATCGGGCTCCCTGCTCCGCGGGAAGCCTGCTTCTCCCTCTGCCTGTCACTCCCCCTTCTTGTGCTCTTGCCCTGTCAAATAAATAAATAAAATCTTAAAAAAAAAAAAATGAAGCGAGTGGAAAAATGTTTCAGGCAAGGAAACAGCATGGTGGAAGGCCCACGGGCAAGAGAGAGTGCACCGAACCTCAAGAGGCTCCAGCAGAGTGAGAAATCAAGCAGGAGAAGTCAAAGGAATGCAGGTCAAACCGCCAGTCCCAGAAAGCGTTTGCTTTTTATCCAAGGGCAATGGGGCTAGATTTTGAGAGGGACCAAATTATGACCAGATCTGCCTTTCAGCTACTGTAGGGTGGAGAGTGGATCCCTAGGTGGCTCTGGCCCACCTGAGAGCTGGTGGTAACCCAGGCCAGACTGGGCCATGGAGAAGAAGATGGACAGATGAGAACTGACTGGAGAGATGTTTTGGAGGTAAGATCAGTGGAACTTGGTGATGGACCAGATGGGCTGTGAGGGAGAAGGAGAGTTTGAGATGCATCATCACCTCCCACCTTCTGGCGTGGACAAATGGGGGGATGATAGTGCCATTTCCTGAGATGGGAACAATGGGTGAGGGGGCAGGCCTGAGCTGTGCCTGCAGCACATTCGAGCTGAGGTGACCACTGAGGCAGCTGGACACGCATCAGGAGTTGGGTGAAGGTCTGTTGGAGATTCAGGGTAGACTCTGGGTGCTTGCAAAGAGAAAAAGAGGTTTCTCAACCTCAGCACTATTGACATTTTGGGTAGGGCAGTTCTTTGTTTGGAGGTAGGCCTGGAGTGTTGGCCTCCTCTGTAAGGTCAGAGCTGGGTCACAGGCCCACCCATGTTCCAATCTAGGGGAAGGGGAGGGTGAGCACAGGTGAGGCAGGGTTCAGGTGCGCTCCTCATGGTGTCCACAGTCATCTAAGAAAGCCTGGTCACAGGGCCACACCTGCTTGCCACGGAAGCTGGGCAGTGTAGGCTAGGTGTGCGCCCAGCAGGGAGGGGGCAGCAGATTTTGGCAGACAGCTGCAATCTCCTAAATGATGCGAGGGACGTGGGGGGTGGCGGCGGTTGGAAGACATTTCCCGTGAAGGGATGAGAGCTTGTGTGGAGACTCAGAGGCAGGAGGGAGCCCTGCAAAGCAGGACACTGCCTGTGGTTCTGCCAGGATCGAGTCCGCCAGCGGGGAGGAATGGGCCTTGTCCTGAGGGCAGGGAAGGCGTTTGGTCAGCCTCCTGACTTCCCACCCGGGGCTCCTTCCTCCTTGAAGTTGTGTCCTTGTTGTCTCCCACAGCTGGGACCTTGATACTCCTTCCTTCCTTCCTCCCTCCCTCCCTCCCTTCTTTCTCTCTCTCTCTCCCTCCTTCCCTCTCTCTCTCTCTCTTTCTTTCAAAGATTTTATTTATTAATTTGTCAGAGAGACAGAGAGCACACAGCAGAGGGGGCGGCAGGCAGAGGGAGAAGCAGGCTTCCGCGTGAGCAGGGAGCCCGATGTGGGACTCGATCCTAAGACCCTGGGATCATGATCCGAGCCGAAGGCAGACGCTTAACTGACTGAGCCACCCAGGCGCCCCTTGATACACATTTCTGCCTCACCCTGGAGCTGTTTCGTTTATTTTCCTACTTTGCCAAGATGGCTGACAGCTCCTGGAGGTCAGGGCCACAGCCTGATCCTCAGTCCTGATCACTGACTCCCCAGCCTCCTAACTGATGTCCATGACAGACTCCAGTCACCCCTGCACACCCTCTAATCATTGTCCCTCAAGGCTACTAATCGGATTCCCCACCCCCAACATGGCTCTGTACACTGACCTCCACAGGCTTTCCAAATACTGTCCAGATTTCCCAACCAGCGTCTTTCACAGTTTCATCACTGACCCCCACGCTGATCCCACCCTGAACCCCCGCTTAGTTCCCCAAGGCTGACCAACCCTGAGGCCCAGACCCTGGCAAGGAGTCTGTCTGTGACCCCACGCACCACCACCCCCCCGCCATAGCGGGAGTAAGTGCTGGTGGGGCAGGTGTGCATGGGCAAGCCTATTGGAAGAGGCCATTAGCTGGGGTCAGTGAGTGTGGAGAGGACCACAGCAGTGGGATGACTGGGAATGACCACATGACCCTGGGTCAGTCACTGTCCTCACTGAGCCTCAGGTTCCCATTTTGCATAGTGGGGATTTTTTTGTGTGTGTGTGTGTGGTTTAGGTTTTATTTCATCATCATCAACTGAACTCTGCCATCCAGCTAGACCTGGGGAGAAGGAACCATGGAGCCCGCAGAACTGCAGCGAGAGCACAGAGATTCTGGGGTATTTCGAGCAGGTGCGGGTGGAGGGGTGCTCTCCCAAGCTATACAAGGAATGGTCTGGTAGTTAAGATAAAACACGAGTCGGATTTCCTAGATCTGTCCACAGTCAGCAATGGTGATCTTCTTGCTGGTCTTGCCGTTCCTGGACTCAAAGCGCTCCATGGCCTCCACGATGTTCATGCCCTCTTTGACCTTGCGGAAGACCATGTGCTTGCCATCCAGCCACTCAGTCTTGGCAGTGCAGATGAAGAACTGGGAACCGTTCGTGTGGGGTCCAGCGTTGGCCATGGACAGGATGCCAGGACCCGTGTGCTTCAGGATGAAATTCTCATCATCAAACTTCTCCGCATAGATGGACTTGCCTCCAGCGCCGTTACGGCGTGTGAAGTCCCGCCCCTTCCCCCCCCCCCCCCATAAATCCCGGAATAATCCTGTGAAAGCAGGAACCTTTATAACCAAATTCTTTCTCCCCAGTGCTCAGGGCACGGAAGTTCTCTGCTGTCTTTGGAACTTTGTCTGCAAATAGCTCAAAGGAGACGCGGGCCAAGGGCTTGCCGTCCACGGGGATATCGAAGAACACGGTGGGGTTGACCATGGCTGGGCGGCGAAGGCGGCTCCGGGTCGGTGGTGTCTGCAAGGCGCCACAGTGGGGATTTTGACTTCACAGAGGTGTTGGGGGGTGAGGGAGTGGTGGAGAGAACTGGGTGGGAGGAAGGCTGTCAGACACCCCCCCCCCCCCTCCAGGCTCTGACCTGGTTGCTTTCCAGGTCCCCAGTGTGAACTGACTTCTGGGGTAGGGAATCCATCTGCTGACCGTCAGTCCAGCTCCATCTGTACTCACTCTGGAGTGAATGATGACAACGACCACCCGTGTACTGCACCCAACAGGCGACACTGGATCCTGACTCCACCGCCCACACGGACTCAGTGCAGGGGGCGCTCGCAGGCTCCTACAGGGGGCAATGGAGCTGGGTTTGGAGGGTTAAAAGCCATCCCTTGCCCAGTGGGCTTCATTCCTAGCTGCACATTCGGCTCATCTGAGGAACTTAAGAAATACCCAGATGTGTGAGGACACCCCAGGCCGATAGAGTCAGAAACTGTGGAGATGGGGCCAGGACCCAGGCCCTTCCGACCGCCACCCAGGCGATTACAGTGTGTAGCTGGGGTTCGGGGGCACCGAGCTGGGTGGGATCGAAGGTATCCAGAGCAGGGAGGATGCCTTCTCAGCACGGAAAGCGTCAGATGTGGAGGCTGCTCATCCTCCCGCGGACGGCCCGCCTGTCCTCAGGAGATCCTCTATCCCCAGCCAAAGCTCAGCCCAGGATTGTGCAGCGCCTTCCACATGAGCAACATCTCGTAGGGCGCGAAGCCGTGCACGACCAGCAGCTGGCGGTACAGGCAGGGGTCGAAGGAGGACTTGGGGGCGCCGGGCAGCTGCAGGCCGAAGGGCCGGATGCCCTGGTGGCTGCTGGGCGCTAGGCCGGATTGCTTCAGACTCATGCCCATGTAGGCGTCATCGATGGGGAAGAGCGGGGTGCGGCGGGCGGCCACGCGCAGGGCCCCGGCCGTGTGGCGGGACAGGAGGAAGCCGCCGCCGCTGCAGTACACCGGGTAGGCCTCCCCGGGGAAGAGCTGCGGGGGCACAAAGTACTTGCTCCAGCTGTTGCGGACGGGCACCGAGCCGTCCATGAGCTGCCCGGCGAAGAGGTGGCCCTCGGGCCGCTGCGTGCCCAGGAAGTGGAGCACGTTGGCGGTGTGCACGAAGACGTCGTCGTCACAGCTGGGCAGGAAGGGCGCGTGCGGGCAGCGCTCGACCAGCCAGTCGAGCAGGTGCAGGTGCTTGAGCCTGAGGTTGAGGAAGGTGTCGGTGAAGGCCCACGGCAGCACGTCGCCCTGCTCGCACGCCTCCAGCGCCACCAGCGCCGCCAACCGGCTTGCGCTCTCGGCGTCGTCGCGCGCGGGGGAGCCCAGCAGGAAGAGGCGGCGCTCCTGCCCCCACGTGCGGCGGATGAGCTCGAGCCGTTCGTAGTTGGCGGGCGACGACTTGACCGCCAGCAGCAGGGAGACCCCTCGGCGGCCCGCGCACTTGGCTGGCGCGTCCCAGAGCAGGGGAAAGCGGCGACAGTGGCGGTACCGCAGGAAGTCCTGGATGCGTGCGGGCAGCTGCTCGAAGCCGACCGTGGCGTTGACCGAGTCGTTGGCCACACATGGGGACCCTGAACTGAACGCCGACGGCTGCACGGCCGCAGAGGCAGCAGGGGCAGCCTCCGTAGAGCCATCCCACATCTTCTCCCGCTGGGACCTGGAGGCTTGGAGGAACCAGAGGTGCAGGGCCAAGAAACTCACACCCACCAGAAGGAGGGTCAGAGTCTTGGGATTCAGGGACCTGCGGCAGGGAAAAGCCATCTGGCTTTTTGGGGCTTGAACAAAGCCCCAAAGCTGCTTGACGGTCAGCAGATGGATTCCCTACCCCAGAAGTCAGTTCACACTGGGGACCTGGAAAGCAACCAGGTCAGAGCCTGGAGGGGGGGGGTGTCTGACAGCCTTCCTCCCACCCAGTTCTCTCCACCACTCCCTCACCCCCCAACACCTCTGTGAGGTCAAAATCCCCACTGTGGCGCCTTGCAGACACCACCGACCCGGAGCCGCCTTCGCTGCCCAGCCATGGTCAACCCCACCGTGTTCTTCGATATCCCCGTGGACGGCAAGCCCTTGGCCCGCGTCTCCTTTGAGCTATTTGCAGACAAAGGAGGAGTCATGTTTGACATCAGTGGAAGGGCACTCTGACCCCGTCACGAACCAGGCCTTTCTCAGCTTTGCTGCTACAAGGTCAAAGGAAACCACAATTCAAGATTACACGGAAGCATCTCACATTTCCCACGGTCTGGAGGGCTCTGACCCTCAGAATCTCATTGTCTCTCCGCATCTCCCCAAGCCACCTCGGCGGAGCAGACTCACTCAAAGTCAAAATCTTCATCTTCAATTCTTATCCTGCTTTTCCACGTCAGTAAATGGTACCACCATCCACCCAGTTGCTCCAACCAGAAGCCCAGCCTCTCTCCACACTCCACTTACATCCGTGCTCCATATCCTGTGGTTCCTGCACCCCAGTCTCTCTGTGCTTATTCCCTCCTCTCCATCCCTGTCAGCCCTGACTCTCTCTGATCCATTTCCCCCTTACCACCTAGTCAAGGAAGCATGAGGTGATAGCTTTGGACTCAGACCCAGGTCAGATTCTGGTGTCCCTACTTACTCATATCCTCTTGAGCAAGTCACTTCCGGTCCCTAGGGCTGAGTGTTGTCTACAAGAAAGGGCTACTAGAGGAGCACCTGGGTGGCTCAGTCGTTAAGCGTCTGCCTTCAGCTCAGGTCATGATCCCAGGGTCCTGGGATCGAGCCCCGCATCGGGCTCCCTGCTCCGCGGGAAGCCTGCTTCTCCCTCTCCCACTCCCCCTGCTTGTGTTCCCTCTCTTGCTGTCAAATAAATAAATAAATAAAATCTTTAAAAAAAAGAAAGGGCTAGTAAATTCCTACTCTAATGCTCCCAACAAGGGTTGCTTTCATGAAGAAAGACAAACTCCAGATCACAATAGCCTTTCCTGTATTGACTCCCTGTGAATCCCATCACACTGGGTTCTGTCCTTAAAACACACTCTGCTCTGTTTCAGAGATGCTGCTCTCTCCTGCCTCTCCTCCTCCCTCTTTAACCATGTCTCTCAATTCCCTTTGCTCATTTCCTCCTCTTTCCACCTTTAATAGTGAGAGGTGCCCAGGCTCTGTCCTAGATGTATCTCCTTTGCCTTGAGGACCTCCGAGCGCCCGTGCCGTATGTCCATCCAGCCACCTATTACCTAGCAGCTCCACATGGTGGCCCACAGCCACTCCGGGTGCAACCTCTCATCTCCATCCCGAGTTGTCCCAGAGTGCCACCACCCACTGTGGTTTTTGTTCAAGCCCCAAACCGTGACTGACTCCCTCCTTGTCTTCATCCCCCCAGCCAAGCTCAGTTGATTTTAATCCCTAAATATTTCATCAACCTGTCCAATTCCATTCCCGCTATCAACAGGCTAATCCAAACTAGCATGGGCTGCTCAGATGACATAGCCTCCCGCTCGGTGTCTCCACATACTTCCATGCTCTCAGTAGATCCCTCCTCCACAGTAGCTGGATTACCTGTGAATCATGCAGATTTCATGCCACACCTCATGCGCTTTTCCTCAGCTTCCTACTGTCAGCCACCTGCCCTGGGCACCAGCCTCAGCCTGAGAAAGCTCTTTTGGCCTTGGAGCTCCCCTGCCTGGATGGACCCCCTCTCCCTCCTTTGCCTCCTTAATGCCTGCTCAGCCTCCTCAGTCTCTAGGTCCACTGAATAGGTATGTCCTTGGCTAGGCTTTAGTGTAGCTCAAAGGAGACCAGATCATTATTTGTTTTAAAGTGTATCTTCTTTCCTAGTCTGTAAGCATCTTGAGGGCAGGGATGGTATCTGTGATGTTCACCACCAATGTCCTGCACAGGGAGAGGTCAGACAACATGGTGATGGAAAATGCTGGTTGCCCAGGTTCAAATGCTGCCTCTACTAGTTTCTAATTGCATGTTCTGAGCAAGTTGATTTAAGCTGTCTAACATTTGCCTCCGAAGAGTTACTGTGAAGAGTAAATGATAATGTGTGTATAGAATTTCGCATGGTACTCAGCACATAATAGGTGTTCAGTAAATGTTACCTGTTATGAATATCAGAGATGTCAATAAATCTTTGTTGAATGAGGGGCGCCTGGGTGGCTCAGTAGTTAAGTGTCTGCCTCTGACTCAAGTCATGGTCCCAGGGTCCTGGGATCCAGCCCCGCATTGGGCTCCCTGCTCAGAAGGGAGTTTGCTTCTCCCTCTCCCTCTGCCACTCCCCCTGCTTGTGTGTTCTCTCTCTGTCAAATGGATAAATAAAATCTTAAAATAATAATAATAATGGCAGTGCCAATAACTACCCAAAAAAGTGAGAGATGCTTGCAAAAGTGTTGGTGCAATCACTGAGTCCCATTAGAAATACTAGAGGTCGGCTCCTGTAGCTCTCACTGTATTCCTGCTTCAGCGTGTGATGCACTGAGACAGGAGGGACAGCGAGATGGTCTAAGTCTACTTAATCATCGCTCTAGGCTCAGTGGCTTGTCCTGTGCCTAGCACATTTGCGGCAGGCAACATTTTTTTTCTGTGAGTGAAAGATTTAAAAAATGAATGAGAATAGAATTTGGAGTCTGAATAACTGGGCCTGAGTCTCAACTGCTTTCATTAGCTGTGCGACTTTGTGTCAAGTCCTGAATCTGCATTTGAGTTTCAACTGAGAAATCGAGAAGGTTACACTCATCCCTCAGTGCAATCAGGAGGCATTCTCTATCTTCTCTCTCTCTGCCCAGAATCATTTTTAGAAAGAAAAATCATTTCAGTCTTTTTTTATTTGACAGAGAGAGATAGAGGGGGGAGTGGGAGACGGAGAAGCGGGCTTCCTGACAAGCAGGGAGCCCAATGCGGGGGCTCGATCCCAGAACCCTGGGATCATGACCTGAGCCGAAGGCAGACACCTAACGACTGAGCCACCCAGGCGCCCCTCATCTCAGTCTTAATGCAACAGTAATTCTTGTCTCAAGGAAACTTGCATTTACTTTGATAAAGCTGATCCAGGAAGCTGAATCAGAGCCACTTTCTGATACAAGTAAGGAAAAGTTTGGGCCAGGTCCTGTTCCTGAGGGTGGTGCTGGTGTGTGGAACTGTGTTACTGGATGCTGACACTGTGGACCTTTGGGTGTCCTCTGTGGTTCTTTTTGCTGGATTTCCCCCTTTTCTCAGTGCACTCTTCCAGATCTCCTGGAGTCCTCACACCTTAGGCTTTCATGCCCTCTGCCGGCCCTGATCTCTCATCCCTCAGGACTCAACTCAAGCACCACCTCCTGCAGGAAACCTGGTACAACGAGCTCAGTTCAACGTATTGACTGTATTGTGTGTCCTTGTTACCATGCCTACTGAATAACTAAGTTGGTAAAAGAGGCCATATGCGCCACGTAGGTGACCCTTTCAAACTTCACATTCCTCATTTGTGGGAACATGGGCAAGTCATTTATCTCAGAGCCTCGGAGGATAATAGGAGTTGATTTGTGAGAGGATCATATAAATTTCCTTTGTGACCCTGTCACTTCTTTCTCCATTTATTGTTCCACGCGTATGTTTCCTTTCCTTTGCAATGCTATTCACTCTGCCTGGGATTCTCTTTCTCATGTTCTAGGAACAGGAAAAGTTTCTGTTGGTTATTCCCCCCTCTGGTTTCATGACGAGATGGATGAATGGAACACCGCTACCACCCTAAGATATTCCTGGGGAATGCATGCACAGTGAATATGGCAGGCAAACAAACTTTTTATTACTTTTGGCCCCAACTCCAAGCATGGAACCTTAACGCAGAAGTTTTGTCCTGGTTCCTTTCCCTCCCTGTCCTTCCTCTGGTTCTTGCTTCGCCCTCTAAGGAGAGGGGTGTCTGGGAGGGGGAGAAAATGCCCCTCCTCACCGATGGGAAGCAGCCCAAGGCTCTGTCTTACCTCGAGTGTCTGAGAAAGAAGAAATAGACGGGAGCCGTCCCCAGACTGGGACCTAACTTTAACACCCTGCTTTCATATGCTGAGGCCCCACCCCCGGGACTGGGCTTGGTTCAATATTCTTGAATCTGACCAATCCATGACATCCGTCCTCCTTGGAGGGATGGTGAAGTGGGGACAGCTACAAGCTTCCTCCCTACAGTGACTGCTTATCCTTTGTGAGGAAGCTAAATGCCATCTCTTCCGGCTTTGTTGACTCCACCCAAGACTGCCTTGGCCTCTCCTGCAGTATGCCTGACGGAATCGCTTGAATGCTCTATTTTCATGATCAGTTCTCCCTGCTGGACTGAGAGCAACTCCAGGGCCGGGGGCCTGTTCTGTTAACATAGGGTATGCTCTGGGGAACACCTGGGTGGCTCAGTTGGTTAAGCGTCTGCCTTCCGCTCAGGTCATGATCCCAGGGTCCTGGGATTGAGTCCCGCATCGGGCTCCTTGTTCAGCAGGGGGCCTGCTTCTCCCTCTGCCTCTGCCCCTCCCCCTGCTTGTGCTCTCTCTCTCTCTCTCTCTGACAAATTAATAAAATCTTTAGAAATTAATAAAATTTTTAAAAAAATTTAAAAACATAGGATATGCTCTGAAATCTTTGTTGGGGGAAATTGTATGTAAAATGTTCATACAGGCATATTTTCTAAAAGCATTAATGACATCCGTATACTGTATTTAGCAAACGATCATGGGCTTCATCCCATTATCACTGTGAGTGGTCAATCAGACTCGGTCTTGGTCCTCAAGAGCTCACCATCTCTTGGGAGAGCCAGATATTGAATATTT